ATTGATTATCATATTTGACAATAGAATCCATTACGTCAGTGAATTGTTACCAGAACAACAATTTGTGCAACAGAACGGTTTCCATGTATTATACATCCCACCCTTGATACTGATATACATGCTAGAGATCTTGCGCTACAGACATGTAGACACAATGACTAACAGTTTTAGATGATCTACAGACCCCAGTTCACTATGATCAGGGACAGCTTTTACATTTACAATTCAGAGACATATCATGGCAGATTCTGGGGATCTGTAAACAGGTGACAAATCCCATTCCATAAAATACAAACAGCTACAGAAATGAGAATACAGGGAATTTGTCAATGGAATCCCTCAGGTATTTGAACGAAATGTGTCTTAAAATCAATAAATTATTATACTGGTTCTTAAATGCGTGTAGTCAATCCTCTTGTAGAGTTTACAGTCTATATCATGTATATTGTATTTCTTGAAAAAGATGTAAATAAATGCAAAAATAGACAGAGTTGAACTTCATAATCTAAAAAAAACCCACTTATTTGAGTATGTGTTTTGTAGTAATTTATTTTGTTGTTCTTTTTTATTTGAAGTAAACGTTAATCATGCCAATGATTTTTTTTTCAAAGTGTATCAAACAATGAACATAAATTACAAAAATGGTTGTTTTATCATGGATGTTGCAGTGTAACTTCTGAGGTAAAGAAATATTCTGAAAGGATAAAAAATAAGATGTGTTAATTTGTGAAACACTATGCGCCCGGTGGCAACAAAGTTCGAAAAAGATATTACTTTTAGCATAAAGGTCACAGTCAAGGTCTCAAGGTCATACCAACTAGGAAGTCTCCATCTTCTTTGGTTGAAAAATTATGTCGAAAGTTAAAAAGAAACTATTTTCAGCATATACTGTAAATGTTTTAAATTTGGCGTGTACAATATTTGGCGGAAATTAAATTTTTAACAAGTTAGCTTAGATTTGATATAGCGCTGTCGCCAAAATCGCTAAATGGAATACATCGCTAAATGTAATACGTTCATAGTAGTTCAAGGTCGCAAAGTCACTGACCTTATAGTCATTTGAAAAATAATTAGTGGAGTATGCATACCAAATAGGTAGTGTCTATCTTCTATCGTTCAAAAGTTATGGGGAAAGTTCGAAAAAGCTATTTTTATCATATAAGTCACAAGGTCATTGACCTTGGTGTCATTTGACAGAGCTTATATTTTAGCTGCTTAAAAATTGAGGTATGCATATCAAATATGAAGTCTCTATCTCTCATGGTTCAAAAGTTATGGCGAAGGTTAATGTTGACAACATACAGAGAGACAAACAGATAAACAGACAAACAGGTAAACAGAAAAAACAGACAGAAGAAGGATATGGAGATAACGATTAGTTTTCAATCTTAAAGTCCATAAAACAATACAAAACAAGAGCAGAGCAAACACGGACCCCCGAAACATCAGAGGTGAGATCAGGTGCCATGGAGGAGTGAGCATCCCCTGCCGAACTGTCACACCCACCGTGTGCTCCTTGTCATGATCAGGAAATAACGGAAAAATCCGTCGTCAATTCAGTGTATAAATAATGGACTAACAATTGGTATGAAAAATGTCAGTCAGCATTTGACAGAACAAAAACAATATACGCCTCGGATCTATCGATCCGGGTGCATAAAAAGGCATGAGAACGTATAATGCTTTTTAAAATTGGTCACATATGTATTTTGGTTACTTTGCACTAAAATTGCTGGTCAAAATTATTCAACCATGAAATGTATGGCGTCACGTAGAAAAGTGATAAAAAGCCAAAAGCACGTGTATATGGATGATCTTGTAGTGCCAAACAATTCATTAGAGTTTATAGAGTATATTTTTGCAAATTTGCAGTCGGTATAAATTTATTGCAAACATGGTACATTTTACTGACGAGAGTTAACTCGGGTGTAGTAATTAAATTACATAAGTGAATGAAAAGGCAGCAACATGTTGCTGTTCAGTTTGTTTTTAACTTTTTAAACAAAATAGTGTTTTTCGGTTGTCAGATAGTAACTTAATTAAATGGTTTCCAACAAATCATGGCAGTGACTTTGGCGTGTAACAACGTCACATCAAGATAGGGCTTTACATCATGCCAACTCGGTTATCATCAAGGCATTATCACTGAATCCGATTTTCATACAACAGACAATCATGCTCATATTTTTTCACATTAAAATTGACAGAAACTCTCTGTACTAATTTGATCCGCGATTTTGGCAACTTAACGTTGATTTTCTTCTCACACGCGCACGTATGTGTAATGTTTTTAGAATGTTAATTTCCATTCCTACGTCGATACGATTCAGGAGAGATTTAGATAATCCCTAAGTCTTTCTATGACTGTTGTTTCGTACTCCTCTTCTAGGGCCTGTCTATATGAGTGAAAAATTCTCGAGAGGGACGTTAAACAATATACAATCTAGGGCCTGACTTGAATATTACTCAGTCCAGACATGTAGTCTTTCTTTAAAAAAAAATACCACAGACTCTGACACATCTGTTTCATACTTGGATATTTTACTTGAGAAAGACGTTCATGGGAACCTAACAACCAAGTTATATGATAAAATTACCGACTTAAACTTTTCTATCGTCTACTCCCCTTACTTATGAAGCAATTTCCTTCATCACCTGCATACGGAGTGTAAATATCTCAATTGATTCGATACGCAAGAGCATACTCTACGTATGAAAAATTTCTAAAAACGAGGTAAATTATTGACAAGCAAGTTGATGAAAAAAGAATATTAGCAGTCTCGTTTTAAGTCCTCATTTCGTAAGTTCTATGGTCGATACAATGACCTTGTCAGCCAAAAAAAAAATTATCATTAAGTCAGATGCTGACTGACGTTTTTCATACCAATTGTTAGTCCATTATTTATACACATAATTGACGACGGATTTTCCGTTATTTCACGATCATGACAATGAGCAGACAGCGAGTGTGACCGATCGGAAGAGGATGCTCACTCCTCCATGGCACCTGATCCCACCTCTGATGTTTCGGAGTTCCATGTTTGCTCTCCTCCTATTTTGTATTGTTTTATGGACTTCGGTGTTGAATACTGTTCGTTATCTCCATATCCTTCACACTGGGAAAATGTAGTCAGTGTTTGCTAAGACTTTCTTACAAACATTCACGTGTACCAAACCAGATGGATTCTGTAAATTCTATCCTAAATCGAAGTTCGTGGGATTCATTAGGCGGATGGGGGTGGGCATTTGTTGAAATCTTACAGCTACTCTAAACCATAAAGACTACATTGTCAGAATCATCGGATCATCGGAAGGGTTGAAAATAATTCTATGAGTAAGATAAAAGCTCAGGTAAACTCAATGTACAGGAAAATCAAGGTTGTTACCGATGCGCAAGGGAGATTATGAAATTTTTTTATTCTTATTTTTGTGTGTTATTGACATATCAATTTCAATAACTCGTGAATTATCAATCAAAGTCACACAAGATTTTGGTAACTTTTTGATAAAAGATAAATCATGTTGATGACAATACTGGAAAACATATTCGAATTGTAGTTTTAATTTAATTCAAAATTTTATTATGTTATATTATATATATTCTTTTTCCATTCAGTATACTTTGAAATAGAAGCTGATGTGCTTATTAAGCAACCAATATCAGTAAAGTCAAAGAAATCAAAATGTGCCTATGAAACAATAGACTAAATTTATAATATATGATGTCATAAGTATATTATTTTCTTAAATTCTGATATTATCATTGTTTCCTGTTGAATCCTGTAATGCTCTTCAACTGAAATTCTGATGAAAAAAGGACTTTTGTATCATTAAAATTTTCAGCACCTTGAAATATCCTAACTCCCAACTCTGGCTCACTCTGGTTTACAAATACGCAAAAATCAATTAGTATACAAAACCAAACAAGTTCTATGAGATAAACACATTTCTAATGATTAACATTATCAACAAAATTTGAAGAAATAAAAGTTTGAGTGTCTCTGTCACAGTTCACCTCGGGATTTTATTTTTAACTCGCTGCTCTCTCACCATTAGTCGTCGTTCTCTCTCATATTCCTTCATTCATAAAACAAAACTGAAAAAAGTCAGAAAAAGATATGACACATTTATGACATATTTTGATATGATTTCTCAGTAAATTATATTGATTTGAGAGAACAGTTTTCATTTTGCGCTAAGAAAAAATAAAAACTTTAATGCCTTTATGACAAAGAATAACCGATACTATTTCTGTGTGTCTTATTTTTTGTACATTGAAATGATCGCAAAAATGCAAAAATAAATAATCTCTAAAACACCCTAGATAATCTATCATGCTAATTAATGTTGGTATCAAAGGCTAGACAATACACAGACAATGCTATGGAATCCTTTAAATTCGTGGGTGTCAATGGTAGTTGCTAAATATAGGCAATTTTTGGGGGTTAGTGGAGACGTAATTTCTATGGTATCTTTGTATAAAAATAAAATCAAAAGAAAAAAAGTATGTTGACAAAGCAGTTGTTCCTAGGGACTACCCACAAAATTCTTGAATATTGGTCCCCTAGGAACATTGATGATTCCAAAGTAATTAGCAATCATTATGGTTCTGTAAGGTTCTTTAGAGATCTCTAGGGTTCTGTTTAGTAAGACCCCTTCAGCCTGATATCTTTATTGATCTACTAAATCTTACAACAAATTGTAATAATTTTGATATTGAGATACATGTATACTAGTTGCAGACCTGTAGCTCTCTTAAACCTGTACTTCTGAACTGGTTTTCATGACTGCACAATTCAGTCAAGTTTTTGTTAACCAAGTAATGATATATTTTTATCGTCTTTAAAAACCCTTGGGATTTAAGGATTTTTCCCTGTATATAATAGCTAGATCATAAAGATAATGCTATATATAAAACAGTGGTAGTTGCTTTCTCTCATTATAGCATTGGAATTTTTTATAAGTACTATCAAATTAAAGATTTTCCTGAAAAACTTAACATGGGCTCTTTTAGAACGTTAGAAATGTAAGTTTTAATTAGCAATATATTAGTACTCTTAACATGCCTAGTTAACTCTCTGAATCAGTACATTTTGCTGACAACTGTATATAGTATATAAGGTTAAGGCATAAATTCTTGAAATTCAATTTCTTTAATAATATTTTTAGTCACAAATTTAAAATAAGTTGAGAACAATAAAATAATACATATAATATTTCTTCACATTTTAAGATTCGATTTACACTAAACTTTTTAAAGTTATTTATCAATTAACTATGTCTATAATTATGACTAAAAAAATCATATTGCACAAGATATATATTGAATCCCCTCTTAATCCTTGCCTGTAGGACAGCTATACAAAACATATCAAAGGCAGTGTTTGTGGGGCTGTGTCGTAAACTTGGCACCTCACAAATTGTGGCCATGAGGAGAGATATGATGGACATCAATGAGATAGTGGAAAATCAAGTGACAACAAGTGATGAGTGCAGTATTATGGTAAGTGTAAGTTACAGAGAAGGATTCAGACTGAAAGAATCAGATATAGACTTTATGTTCTGGCCAAATAATACCCGTGTGATCTGGGAATTATCTCAGACTCAGTATTACAACACACACAGACAAACACTGATCCTCGGTGACTGTTCCGATAGTCCACCAGGATTCACTTTATTATATTTACTGTCACCTACCATGGACAAAGATATTCAGAGAGCTTGTGTAAGAATAAATAACATACATTATATATCTAGTTCTAAGTATAGACAGATGATCTGTGCTGCTTCAATAAATCAGTCAATTCAACATGGACCCTGTGCCAGTGGAACAATTGGAACAACAGAATTTGATAATGCCCCATGTTTTGTTAGTGACTTTTGGCCTCCAACTGCCTCCTCTTGGATAGACAGATGCCACTCGTGGCCCCAGACTCATGTTGTTGATGATATTGTTAAAAATGGATGTCACTTTGTGGCAATAGGACATAAGCTAGGAAGACATGAAGACCATGAATGGAGAATTTCTTTCTCTCTGGCAGAACAGAAACTAGCATTTTCAATGAATCACTGCCAGTTTTTGACTTATGGCTTACTGAAATTGTTTATAACAGATATGGTAAACAATGGAGTAAGTGAGGATAATAAATTACTGTGTTCCTATCACATGAAGACCGCAGTTTTCTGGGCGATTCAACAAAATACAATACCTCAATGGTGTCCACAAAATCTCCTTGGGTGTTTCTGGGTCTGTTTTAAACTCATTCTCAAATGGGTGTATGAGGGGGTCTGTCCTAACTTTTTTATTCCAGAAAATAACATGTTTCTTAGTAAAATTCATGGCGACAAACAACATCAAGTATTTATTAGATTGTATGGGTTGTATGAGAAGGGTTTAGCATTCCTGCTACAATGCCCCAGCTTTAGGACTTATATTTTTAATTTCCTTCATAATCTTAGACTCTCCATCTGTACAGATGAACATACCCTGATTTCTGAGGTTGATTTTGATGAAAATCTATATGATGAAATACTACGAATTGACACAATACGGAAACTGGACATACAAAGATGTATGAAATATCTACAAACAATAGAACAGATGATAAACTTACACCTCCTGACACAGTATCAAGCCATAATGCTACAGAAACTTACAGCTGATGTCCTTCAGCAAACTGCATTTATATTATACATGGAAACTTACACACATTTAAACAAACTGAGTTATAGAGTTGACAAAATGTTCTGTTATATGCTGAAATTGGCATCCAAGTTTGGTTGTATAACTGACATGATGTACAGAGCCATGTATTATTACAAGACACTTAGATACACGGAAGCTTTATCTATCATAGAGAAGGTCGTCAAGTTAGCACAGCCGTATGTGATGTATTGGTATAATGAAGATACAGAGATGTATATTGAGGCTGTAGGGGGACAGTCCTGGTCTACAAAGATGAGACAGGCTGTAGCATGGATTATCTTACTTAACAACAAAATCCATTATATCAGTGAATTGTTACTAGAACAACAGTCTGCTATGGAGAATGGCTGGTCTTTTTTATGTATACCATCATTTGTACTATTATACATGCTAGAGATTTTGTGCTACAGACATATAGACACAATAAGAGCACAAACTGCTCTAGATGATCTACAAGCTCTAGTTCACTATGATCAGGGACATTTTATACCTTTACTTCTCAGAGACATATCGTGGCAGATTCTGGGGATCTGTCAACAGGTGACAGGGAACCTCCAGGCTGCTCTATACTCATACCAACAATCTCTCAGGCAAGAACCAATGCAAAATATACAAACAGCTACACAAATGAGAATACAGGAAATTGGTCAATGGAATTCCACAGATATTTAAACGAAATATGTCTTCAAATCAAGGAGTCATTAAACTAGTTCTGGAATGTTTAATTTGTATAGTGGTTCACCTGATAGGGTTTATGGTGTATATTATGTATATTGTATTTCATGAGAAGGATGTAGATCAATGCAGAGATAAACAGATTTAAATATTAAAAGATATAAAATTAAGAGTATGTGTATTTATTTATTTTGTATTTTGTTGTTCTGATATTATTTGAAGTAAACTTAAATCGTAAAATAAATAAAAGAATAAAATATTTTTTAAAGTGTACCAAACAATGAACAAAAATTACAAAAATGTTTGACTTTTCATTGATGTTGCAGGGTAACTTCTGAGGTAAAGAAATAATTTGAAATATAAAAGCTGAGGTGCTCAGATTAATCAAGACCTGTCCATGCAGCACCAAAGCATTTTGTCCAAGAAGTCTAGAATGTCAAAATTCTGGTACAAACACCCTAGCTTATAAAACCTTTGTTCTCTGTTAGCCTCACAGATGCATGCTCAGGAGCAGAGAAGATTTTCAAAAAATAATGCATCTTCACTCTAGTTCAACACAGTCCCACCCTAACACCAAAATCTGTGACATGCAGGTTATCCTACAGATATCCTAGCTCAACCTCACTCTGAACTAACATTACATGTATCTGCAAAAGATCCTGGAGCAGAGAAGAAGACTTCTGAAGAGAAAATGCCTCTTTTGTACTGTTTTATGGACTTTTAGATTGAATACTGTTCGTTATCCCCATACCTTCATCTTCATTAGATAATCAAAGGAGCCCCACCATAACATCAGGCTCTAGGGCCATAAAACAGACGAGTTTATTTGTGACTTCGTCTTCAAGTCATCATTCTGTAAGTACTATGGTCGATGCAATGACCTTGTCAGCAAATACAATTTATCATTAATCAAATGCTGACTGACGTTTTTCATACCAATTGTTAGTCCATTATTTATACACTGAATTGACGACAGATTTTTTCCGTTATTTCCTGACCATGACAAGGAGCACATGGTGGGTGTGACCGGTCGGCAGGGGATGCTCACTCCTCCATGGCACCTGATCCCACCTCTGATGTTTTGGGGGTCCATGTTTGCTCTGCTCTTATTTTGTATTGTTTTATGGACTTTGAGATTGAATACTGTTCGTTATCTCCATATCCTTCTAACTTTTACAAAATGAATTAATGGTTGAAAAGTGAGACTGAGATCACAAAAGAGCATATCTCTAAGTTTTATGGTTCTGGAGCTGGTGCCCCTTAATTAGGAAATTCACAGTTTCTAACACCCTTAATTCCAGTCTCTAAATACTTTTGTCCATGTTCCTGCAGACGTAAGTGCACTGTTATCTTGTTTTAGGCTTTCAGCAACCAATATCAGTAAAATCAAAGAAATCATGAAACAATAGATTAAATTTATTATAAATGATGTCATAAGTTTCTTGTTTTCCTAAATTATGATATTATCATTGTTTCCTGTGAATCCTGTAATGCTCTTCAATTCAAATCCTGATGAAAAAAATTTCTATCATTAAAATTCTCAACATCTTGAAATACCCTAACCCCGAACTCTTGCTCACTCTGGTCCAAATTGTTACTCTGGTCCACAAAAATTCATTAATAAGTTTATATATAAAACCAAACAAGTTCTATCAGATAAACACATTTTTAATGATATACATTACTAACAAAGTTTTAAGAAATAAAAGTTGAGTGTCTCTGTCACATTTCACCGCGGGCGATTTTATTTTTAACTCGCTGCTCCCTCACCATTAGCCTTCGTTCTCTCTCATATTCCTTCATACGTAGAACAAAACTGAAATAGTCAGAAAAAGATAATAAACCTTTAATAATGACATATTTTGATATAATTTCTCAGTAAATTACATGTATATTCATTTCAAAGAATAGGTTTCATTTTGCGATAAAAAGAATGGATTTTTTGTATTCTGGTCAAATTATTTATACGATAAATACTAGAACAGTATAGGTAGTTTTTGATAGGCCAGAATTTAGCAAGACTTATTTCCTGTTGGCCGCCATACTGGAGGTCCTAATGCTCATATTCCTTCATTGTTTAACCAATCTAAAATTTTTATATAAATTTATCATATTATATTGTTATTTTGAATTAGGAATCATTATTTTTCTGAAGTATATAAATTTTTTGGAAGCCTCCTTTATTTAAAAAAAAAAAGATTTTCTACCAAATATTTCTGCTACATCTCTTAAACTTGGTAAAACCAAGAGGGAAAATCACAGAGTCAACCTCCAATATGGCGACCAACGGGAAGTAACTCTCCCTAAATTCAGGCCTATCAAAAACAATATATATGCAGCCACAATTTCAATAAAAAAACTAAGTATTCAGGCATTTTAAGAAAATTTCACAACTTTAACATTTAAATGGTTTTAGTATTTTCTATGTACTTTAAATTATTTTATATAATGCATTGTGATTGAAGCATTTCTTATGATCAATTCAAAACACCATGGATCACTTCTAATTTACTATCATTATAATAAACTTTGGTATTAAAGGCTAGACAATACACAGATAATACTATTTGATAGAATCATTTAAATTTGTGGGGGTCAATGGTTGAGGGTAGGCAAAATGTTGGTGGTTTTATGGGAGAAGAAATTTTTTGTGTATCTTGTATATAAACAAGATTAAATGAATAAATATGTTGATAAAAAAATTATAAATTTGTGACAAAGGTGACCCATGAATATTGGTCCCCTGGGTACATTGATGATTCCTCAGTATTTAACAATCATTGTAAGGTACTTTAGATATCTCTAGGGTTCTATGTATAGTATGACAGCTTCAGAAGGATGTTGTCATTGATCTAGATAAGAGTCTAAATCTTACTATACTGATCTTGTATTAAAATGTATTTCCTTACAACACTGACAAATGCTTAAACAGTCATAATTTTGATTGTGAGATACCGGCCAGTACATGTACTAGGTGCAGAACTGTAGCTCTCCCCTCAAAAATATGCAAGTGATTGAGATTTTCTGTTAGCATCCTCGCAAGCCAGGCTTCTTGAGTTAACATAGCTGCAATAATGTAGCCCTCTCCCTTTTTTTTTTTTTTTTTTTTTTGGGAGAGGGCTACAACTCCTTAGGATCTTTCTAATGGCGCAGCTGCGGGAGTGATTTGCTCCCGCACGGATTTCGGCTCAAATTAACAGTAAATGGCTATTTTATTAACATTTCTTACCAGTGTTCGAAATTCAGAATTATTTTCTGTGGGTCCAAAGGACCCACTGGTAAAGGGTCTACACCAGTCCTTCCAAGGCAGCATAGGCCCAAAAATAATACAATGTACCATCAAATATTTTGGGGAAAAAACTTTAATTGACAATCTTGGTAAGTTTATCGATTCCTTACCAATAAAAAAAATATCATATTATTTAACAAAAAAATATGTTAATATTACTGTAAACATACTTTGTTTCCTGTAACATTCCCCCCAAAACAGGGTCTGTCTGTATTTTTTTTTTCTTTTTTTTTTTTTTTGCCTAATGTACGATCTCACATATTGAAGCATTATAAAGTTTCCATTTGAAACATTAATTTTTACTTTCCCTAAATACCTAAATAAATAGGGCCAAACATCCCAGGACTGAAGTAACCAGGTGGGATATTTACAGTAGGCACCTAACATGGCTGTACATGCGATAGAAAACGAAGCTAAACAAATTGGGGGAGGAAATGCTAGATGGTATAAAAATGATCATTCCTCTTCATATTTTAAAAGTGAAGATTGACAAGTAGGATGACATATTTATATTTCAACTAACGCTACAATTAGCATTCTTTATAAAAATTGCATCAGCTGATTGAAACCGGCACGGATATAGTCAGATAGTAGCAATTTGAATGTGTCCGTCGGATTATAGGAAAGAAACATATTTTTTTTAGGCCTTCTTTCTTGGCAAATCATCATCGGCCCAAAATCATTTCAAGGACCCATTTAGTCATACTATACATGAGTCCTTCCGTTTGTACGTCGGCGCAGGACCGACGGACCGACGCTAATTTCGAACACTGTTTCTTACCTTGACTCCAAATAAGTAGTCATCCAAGACGTAAACCAATGCAAAAATATACAGAACGATCCCTATATCGCTTATTTTTCGTGTATGTCAACATCACAACTCGAATTTATCCGCCATGTTTACTGACCTTGATAGATTGTATTTTGGGACAGCCAATGAGAATTTAGGTTCTATAGGAGCGGATCTTTTTGGAATTCCCTTATTTTGAACATAAATATCGCTGCTTGCATAAAAATAACACTTAAAATGGTTTTATATACCTATGTTTTTGTGATGAAATTCAGCACATACATTTATAAACACCGATAATTGCTTTATTCAGTTGTTTTAAATTTCAAGCGAAAGTCTCATTACGTCACGCGTGAACTGTCATGGCTGCTGAAGTAAACTACCAGGAAACATGCAGAGTTATTTTACAAGTTTTTCGCATTTAACGGGGTCTACTGTTGACAGTGAATAAAAAATTCGTCTTATTAGGAGTAAGTTGAATGTAAAAATAATTTATTTTGCCTGCAGTCGCTCCTATTAAAAAAAAATATTTGCACCATTACGGAGATGCGATGGAATTGTAGCCCTCTCCAGAAAACATCAGATTAAAAAAAATCGGAGAGGGCTACATTATTGCAGCTAGAGTTAACATGTTGCTGTTAGACCCCTGGCATATTTCATTCAATATTCATGGGCAGACTGTAGTGACCTCTATTAGAA